ATTTAATGAGAATTTCTTTCCCGGCAGCAGAAAGGGTGAGACTTTTCCAATCCTTGAGTTTCTTCCGCACGCGCTCCTTGAGCTCATTGAAAACCTCCCTCTTGGATCTCCCAACCATAGTGGGAAGCCCAAGGTATTTCTGATGTTTCTCTGCAATTTTAATTCCCAGCGTTCCACTTATCTCCAGCTTCCTACTCCATTTAACATTGCGACTGAAGGAGATTTCGGATTTGGACAGATTGATACATTGCCCCGATTCTTTCTCATAGGTCTTTAGGAGTTTCTTAAGCTCATCACACTCATCAATAGAGGCTCTTCCGAAAACCAGGCTATCGTCGGCAAACAGCAGGTGGGAGATAGCGGGGGCTCTGTGGCTAACTTTTATACCATGGATCCTTTTATCATTCTCGGCCTTTTTCAGGAGGGCAGAAAGACCTTCCGCACAAATAAGGAAGAGATATGGCGACAGGGGGTCGCCCTGTCTTATGCCCCTTGAGGGTTTGAACTCCTTGGATTTGTGCCCATTGACCAAGATGGAATATGTCACACTTCTAACGCACATCATAACCAGCCCTATCCATTTTTCATTAAATCCCATCTTCCTCATAATAGCTTCCAAAAAGTCCCAGTCAACTCTGTCAAAAGCTTTAGTCATGTCGAGCTTAGCAGCAAAGAAACCCCTCTTACCTTTGGTCTTCCTCTTCAGATACTGGAAGCACTCGAAGGCTGTAATGATGTTGTCCGTTATAAAGCGACCTTTTATGAAAGCACTCTGCTCCTGGGAGATGATGTTGTTCGTGATTTTCTTTAGCCTGTTGGTAAGAACTTTGGAGACCAGCTTGTAGAGCACTCTGCACAGGCTGATAGGGCGAAAATCCCTCGCCATGGAAGGCTTTTTAACTTTAGGAATCAGAACAATGAGAGTGTGGTTGATATCTTGAGGGATCGCGCCTTCGTTTAAAAAACCCAGGACAGCTTTAGTGACGTGTTTGCCTATAGACTCCCAATTTCTTTGGTAAAACCCTGCTGGAAAGCCGTCGGATCCGGGAGCTTTGAGGGGTCCCATTTGCTTTAGAGCCAGGAACACTTCTTCATCTTGAAAGGGGGCGGATAGCTCTTCATTCATGTTTTCTGTGACTCTTTTCTCCACAGCGTTAATTACAAGATCAGAGGGAGGGTTAGACATTTTAGTGAATAGGGTTGCATAATAATCCAGCAAGTGATTTGATACTTCCTTTTGACCTTTGAATCTTCTTCCTGAGTCGTCTTCCAGCTCCTTGATTGTGTTTCCGCTTGCGTCTTAGAGTAGCTTTGGAGTGGAAGAAACTGGAGTTTTTATCCCCACCTTTGAGCCAGTCGGCTCTGGATCTCTGCTTCCATTTTTGCTCAATTTTGTGAATGAGATCTGTCCTTTCCGCTTCAAGCTTCCTTCTGGTCTCCATCCACTGAATGGTCTTCGGATAATATCTCATTTTCTGGAGGTCTTTGTCAATCTTCTCTACCCTTTTTTGAAGGTTTCCAAATTTCTCTTTGCTCCAAGTTTGGAGCTCCTTCCTGCAATTGTCCAGAATGTCAAGAATGTTGGTATCATTAGAGGTAGTGCAAGCTCTGGCCACAACTTCTTTACTTTCCGTATCCTGCAGCCAATAGGATTCCACTCTAAACTGCCATCCCCATCTTATATCTTCCTCACTTTTGTCTCTCGTGTTCATTAGGATAGGGCAATGGTCCGATCCACACCTCTCGAGGTGTGTGACTTTATGGCTCGGATGCAGAATCTGCCAATCCCAGTTAGCGAGGCTTCTGTCGAGTCTTTCTTCGATGAACCGCTCCCCCCCTTGGCCGTTGTCCCAGGTGAAGGGGTATCCCTCAAAACCACAATCCATAAGTCCGCAATACTCAAGTGAATCACAAAAATCCACGATCAGCCTTTCATCCACCAGCTTTCCTCCTTCCTTTTCTTCTCCGGATGTAACCTGGTTAAAGTCTCCCATGCACAGCCAAGGGAGATCGCAGTCATGCTTGAGTTTCCTAAGGAGTTCCCATGAAAGATGTCTTTCGTCTCTTTTGGGGCTGCCATAGAAGCCTGTGAAACGCCATTTGGGGCCTTCATCAGCACAGTCAACCACAATGTCATAGTGCTGGTCAGAACTGGATAAATATGAAATTTCGATTCCATTGCGCCAAAAAAGGCAGAGACCTCCAGCCTTAATCCCATTGTCTTCCCTAGCAGGTACTCCTCTGCTAAACCTGTATCCCAGAGTCCGCTTCACCCGCCTTCTGTCTTTGTTGGAGAGCCGTGATTCCATTAAAAAGAGGATGTCAGGTTGTTGCTTCACCACGAGCCTCTTAAGTTCATCAACTGCCGAGGTTTGGCCCAGACCTCGACAGTTGAAGCTGATCAGCCTCATTGGGCTCGGCGGCCTTGCTCCTCGGCAAGGTCCGCCTCTTCGCCATCCATGTTCTGATTTTGTTCCTGCTTTGACTTCTTGTTTCCGTTGGGGGTAGGGTCGACATCCATATCCTGTACTCCATCATTAATAGTCCTTTACTTCCCACTGCTTCTCTGAGTTCTTCTGAGATACCCCTTCTTATTCCTTCTATTCTGGTCCATTTCCTGTTCTTCACTGAGCTGTCTGTTGCTTCTCTCTCTTTGAGTTTCCCATCTTAACAGGCAGCTTGCTTCCTTGGTTTGTGTTCTGACTAATTACCGCGTCCTCTTCCTTCCTCTCTTGTGTTACTTCCTTCAGCTTCGTCTCTTCATTGGGTTCTTTGCCTTTCGATTTGATAACCAGTGATTCGCCTGCAGGCTGACAATTTCCTTCCTGATCTTTGGTAGACTGTGGAGCATCCTTGAAGCTGATGATTTGGAGTTCCTCAGCTAGTGTTGCCGTTAGGATTCCTTCCTGATCTGCTCTGTCTCTTACAGCAGATTCTCTGCTGGCAGGCGTGCTGTTTCTGTTCTTTGTCAGACTTCCTGTATATTCTGGTCCTTCCTTTGGTTCAGATTTTTGGTTTCTTGCTTCCTTCCTGATCTTCCCTGATTGCAGGTCAGTCCAGAGGCTATCCAGCTTCTTCTTCTCATCTCTAGCCTTCATATCTAGTCTTTTAAGTGGGGACTCAGCCCTGAGCCAAGCACCATATTCTTCCTTAAGTTCTTCTTCTGGATTCTCCAGCTTTCTTGGGCAGCCGTTCTTTAGATGGCCAAGTAAACCACAGCAGTAGCAAAAGATGGGGAGCTTCTCGTAAGCTACTTTATATGATACCGGCCCGCTAGCTCCATTCAACTTCACTACCCTCCGCAGGGGTTTTTTGATATTGATGGAGACCCTTATCCTCAGGAAGTCACTGTCCAGACCTGAGTGGAGTTCGTCCCATCTTACGAAAGCGCCGAACATATCTCCTATTTTCCCTGCCATACTTTTTGTTCTTAGCTTTAGTGGGACCTTTCGAATTCTTGTCCAGAAGTCGGTGGAAGAGAAGTCGATGTCTTTTGTTTCAAGGTCTGGCGGTATTTCTTTAAAAACAATCAGCTGTTTTTCGTAGTGCCAAGGACCTCCGAGGAGAACCCTTTCCTTGTCTTCATAGCAGTAGAATTGTAGTAGGATAATGCCTTCAGAAGTTATACGAAGGTCAAAGTCTTTCTTCGGTCTCCACACATCCTTCAGGATATTCTTCAGAACTCTCGCAGAACCAAGTCTGCCGGCGATGATCTTCCCTGCAACGCCTAGCTCTGCAATCACTTCTTCGATGCCTTTGTCCTCGTCTTCTTCCTCTATTTTGATGCTTGTTTCTTCATCTTCGGTTAGGCTAACATTTGCTATTCTGCTAACGATTTCTCTTTCAGTATCCATGGTGGAAGACAAAGAGTCAACAACGAGAAACAGGACTAACAAGCCGCGGGACAACACTATTCAACAGCGGAGGATGAGGGAGAGGTGAAGGGTGGAACACAGGGGATGGATCTCTCACAGGGAGGGAGAAGGGGAAGGATCCAGAACCGCAGGAGGCGGGAGATGAAGAGTCACTCTGATGAACAGGGAGAGAGAGCTCTCACGCGGGAGAGAAAATTGCATGTGTTTTGTTGGTTACCTACTAATGCTTGACGTTTTCTTTTTCTTCTTCTTTCAGACTTTTAAATCCATCCTCTTTTCTTTTTTTTCCAAACATTCACATTCAATTCAGATATTCAATTAACATCACACTAAATTTGAAGTTATAGTCTCACCAAAAAAAAAAAAAATTGAAGTTATAGACTTATAGATCTACTGTACATTATGTCTACATCAACAATTAATATTTACGGCTCAATCCAATAAATTATTAATACATATAAACTCATTAAAGTTGGTTTATAGGCAATCCTTTCACATGATAAATATATTTTGATTGGACAATTGATTCTCTAGCAATGAGGAATTTTTTATCAAAGTGAATTGACATTTGGATAGAGTATGTGTTTCAGTTAGTTTTATTGATTATTTTTAAAAAAGATTATACAAAAAACTAATTAAGTGAGAGATACGCGACCTAGCATTGAATATATTTAAAATTTAATTTAAAGCTCATTTTTTTATAATGGTTCTCCAATCTTATATTAATTCGATATGATTCTGGATCGAATGAAACAGACAAACGATTAACATAATTATAATAGAGGTAGTCATGATAACAATATGGTTTAAACCATAAATTCCCACCAACTTCTGAATTGAATTGGATTACATTGATCCTATAAAAAAAAAATTGGATTACATTGAGTTGTATTTAATTCTATTCCAATTCTCATACAAACTATCTATGGTTCGCGAGGAAATTTCAGTGAGCTTTTATACTCTATCTCTCTTGACAATCAACTAACCAATAGTATTTTATCGGGGACTTAATTATCATTTTGAAAATGAGATCAATGGTATATTTTTATATTTCTCAAAATATTCTATCTATATATACTTTCTTTATGTATCATCTCTCGATCGAAGGATTGTCAATAAAATTAAACGGATTGATAAACTTAAATGTAATATGAAAATATACATAATCAAATATAAATATTCCCACAACGGAACGGGTTATAAGCTAGAATTATTTACGATAGAGTTTGATGAGAACAATTTTGCGAGCGAAGATCAGAGGATGGTTCATAAACAAAACAGTGCCATTGTTAGCTCGCATCGGCATCACCGTGCTCCATTTGTTCAATGATCAGTGGAAGTCAAGTCAACAAGAAGGTCCATACGCCATCGCCCTACTATCTTAGCCTCCATTTCAAAGGATTGACTGATTCTATCCCCATCTCAGTCGTCTCTGAGTAAACCTTCATTTCAGACGTTTCTTTTCCTTTTCATGACTTTTTCCCACTCCCAAACCGTTCCTGGCTCGGGTCAATTGGCGAGAGGCGTTTCGCTACATTCGTACTACTACTACTGCTGCTGCCACTGGAACTATCTTTCTTCTTATCAACCACAATTTCATTCAGGGCCACTTCTAGTTTATCCACCCTCTCTTTCACCTCTGATATAGCAGCATTTGACTTGGCTTCTACTTCAAGGGCTTTCTGCTCCTCCTCTTCTGCTCTCGTCTCTTCTTCTTTCTTCTTCTTCTGCTGGAATTCCTGAAAGACGGAATGGAACCAGAAGCAAAATCTCAGCAAATAGAGACAAAAATCTGTAACACGTGGTTCGTAGCCATGGCCTTTTAGGCTTTTACCAAAAAAGGAGCTTTCAGGTTACTGACAGTTACCGTTTCCACTCGCTCCATTTCACGACGAGCATACATGGCTACCAAGTACACAGCTGTTACACAGAGAATAACAATGTCACTTGAGGCCCGAAGAGAAGGCACGAACAGGCAGCATTGTAACAGAAACTTGGTTGATAGATAGATAGATAGATAGATATACCCAATGATGGCAAACAGACAAAGAACAGTTGTACCAGGTGAAAATCAAGCCTGAAATGGAATGGATGGAAGTAAGCAGATATGTTCCCGAAGCTCAGATGGAGGTCATGAGGCTAACCAGAAAGTATCACATTGATAAATAAACATGGCACCAACAAATTGTGCACCAATGACACAACACAATTGGCCCTCTTGTGGATACCCCGAATAGAACGGATTAGTTTCAGAAGAAATTCTGGTTGAGTGAGGCACTCGATTGCGTTGTCTATTTTCCATAGAGAAAAACACTGGAATTTTTGTCATACCAACACCTCAAGAATGATTCGTTTCATGCGATAAGAAAGAGCCCACGAGCGCATGGAATTGTGCATAACTCAATGTTGATAAAACCAAACTAGTCTAGCTAATGGTGATGAAACTGGGTACTTTTCTTTCCCCCATATCAGTTAATACTACCAGTTAAAACTGGAGCATAGCAATGATGCAGACATAAAACAAAATATCTATGAGGTATGAGAGAAACGGAGGTGTCTCAGAACTTGATTACATTTCGAAGCATTTATCTGTTAGACTAACTTAAATTTAGAGCAATTAAGTAGGCCAGGTCTGCTCTAGAAAGGTTCATCCAACCCTTCTGTTACAAAAAGAAACTACCTGGATGATCTCCATTCTTCACTACTATCAATAGATGTGGGCTAAATTGCCCTGAAGTTTCCATATCCATAGCTACCAAAACAATATCTAGAGCAGCAATGTGCTATGTTCTGGACGGAAAACGGTGCAGCTTCCTCCAAGCAAACGAGGGAATTAACCAGCAACCAAATAAGCGCAGAAGATTCAGCACATCAAGGCACATAACCTATTCGACAAAATGTCTCAAAGGAAACGAAACAGAACAAGCAAAGTTGCAAGACTCGGACTCCCATAGAAACCATAAGACGGGAATACGAAATTACCCGAACTTCTTTTGCTTGGGGGTCTCCGCGAAAAGGATCTTGGCGGCGGTCATGAAATCGAGCTTGCCCAGCTGGCTATATGTTTCATTGTATCTGGTAATACTCGCTGGTTGCTTGTTATTATCACCGCCATTGTTGCCGCCGCTGTCGTAGCTCTTCTTGTTGTTGTGATTGGGCTTAGCGGTGGTGGTGCACAGCCGACGGTGCTTCAATCGTGCCAGGGCGTGCCTGGCGCGAAACATCCTACTTTAAAGTTCGTCCTATCGACGACGACTCAGGGCTCCATAACTCTGCAATTAGTTACTTGCCTACTAGAGGATCACCATAGCTAATCGAATTTCGGAGTCTGATCCGGGAGCAAATTGAACAAAGGATTGACTTCTGCCGTTCTGCGTTCGTTCTGCGTTACAGTTTCTGTCCAGCCGTATAGGCTGGCTGGCTTAGTGCCGTCGCCGCCGTATCGCCGCCAACTGTTCCTTTGTTCAGAAAGTGGGGCGACAAATGGTGAAATGGAAGGGGAAGGTTGAAAAGGTCAAAAGGAGAATAATTCTGAAATGGGCTAAGGCCTAATGGTCTCTAGTAACCCAATTAATGTGGGCCATCAACAGTTTGTGGGCCTTAATGGGCTGGACTTTTCTTCCTCCTTTCCTGGCGGTTAATTGGCTTAATAAGTAAGCGGTTTGTCGACGTTAAATGTACGCGGGACGGTGACATTGACAAATCTATAAATAGCTTTAACACTTAACAGGCAGGCCCCGGTCTAAAAAACAAGCGCTCTCTCCCGTTTTCCCTCTTGAATTTCGAACCCGTTTAGCTCCGGCGATTCTCATCTTCCCACTGGTGCTCTCGGCTGCCTCTAATGGCGACCTTCGGTGCCGCTTCCGCAGCTAATACGAACCCTAACAAGTCCTTTGAGGTAAATGTCTCCCTCGCTGTCGGTTCTTTGAATTTGGCATTTGTATCCTTGGGTGATCATTAATATTATAGTTCCGAGTTCTTCGAAGCTTTCACGATAGACGAATTGGCTGCTGGCCGGATTCTGTAGGCTAAATAGTCCTTTTCTTGTCCTTTGGGTTTTAATGAAGTGCATTTGAACTGCCCGAGTCTTTGAATTCACTGTTCGTATTGAAGATTTTCAAGTTTGGCGTTCTGTGATTCTTTGCATTTGGGTTTAGGGTTTGAGAAAGGTGTGTTCGTGATTATTAGGATTGTTTGGTGGCATTCTTACATTGAATGCTGACTGAGGGTTGTTTGGATGTCGTTGCAGGTGATTCAACCCCCGACTGACTCGGTTTCCAGTCTCAGCTTCAGTCCTAAGGCAAACTACTTGGTGGCTACTTCGTGGGATAACCAGGTTTCTTGAACTCGAATTCAGCTCTTTTACAAATTTTGTTGTATTCTCTTTGTATGGGTTGCTTTCTGTTTTTGAGCATGAGCTGCCCTTGTTTTTACCTGTAAAGTTCCGACCTCATGAAAGGAACAATCTCCTCAAAATTTATTGAAATTCATCTTTCAACGCTGAAACTCATGCTGCATTTTTGTTGTTGTTTCAAATTATTAACACAAACAACATCATTCTCAAATTCGGAATAATGTTTGCAGGTACGGTGCTGGGAAATATCAAGAAATGCAAGCACCGCATCCAGTGCGCCCAAGGCATCGATGTCACATGACCAGCCGGTAATATATGGATCAAACAAGACTGTCTACTACTTCACTTTGTAATTGCAGCTCTAATTCTTCCTTGCTTCATTGTTGGTGCCTTTTATAGGTCTTATGTTCTGCATGGAAGGATGATGGAACAACTGTTTTCACCGGCGGCTGTGACAAGCAAGTGAAGATGTGGCCTTTATTGTCAGGAGGTCAAGCAACCACTGTCGCTATGCATGACGGACCAGTTAAAGAGATAGCTTGGATTCCAGAAATGAACCTCTTGGCCTCAGCAAGTTGGGATAAGACCTTGAGGTAAGAATCTCTCTCATCTCGTTCTTTGTGGCGTTTCAAGAAGTCGAGTAACAGCTACCACCTTTATCAACTATATTCATCTATGTTGAAAAGTTCTAAGCATCATATTAAAATTTCATTTGGTAAAGAGATCGAAATAAACTGAAAGCATTTCGATGCTGATGCAAATCATCCCTTGCTTTAACTCTGTTGAGCCTCCTGTTGTAGGAGGAATTGAGTTTTGTTAGCATCTAGCGATAATAAATGATTCTGAATGTTTAAACGGCTGCACAATGTTGTTTTATAACTTTTGTAGCTTGGATGCAAACTCTTTAGTCTATGAACGTCACTTTGTCAAATTTTTATCGTATTATATCTCTTCAATATAAACAGATACTGGGACACAAGGCAGCAAACTCCAGTGCATACTCAACAACTGCCAGAGCGCTGTTATGCTATGACAGTGCGGTATCCCCTCATGGTTGTGGGTACTGCAGACAGGAACATCGTAGTCTTCAATCTTCAAAATCCTCAGGTACTTGTCTACATTTTAGGCTTACTTCTTCTCTGGATGGTTGTGGATGGGTTTAAGTCTATCTATTCATAGGTAACCCATATAGGGGATCTTGAATAGTGGTTTCATGGGAGGATTGTGTGACGAGACATCTCGTGTGACGAGACATGCTGGAATTTTAGGATTCTTATTCTTTTCTCTCTCATAGAGCGGCACTCCATTTGTTTCGTATCTAATTTATATATTTGATGTTGACAGGCGGAATTCAAGAGAATTCAATCACCGCTGAAATATCAGACGAGATGTGTAGCAGCCTTTCCGGACCAGCAAGGGTTTTTGGTATGCATGTGACTTTGTCATAATCCTTCCCTTTATGATTACAAGATGTCCTTCAAACTTGCATATTTTGCCAACTTTCAAGAATTTTGGAGGGGTTTAAGTCCCGTTCACCTTATCCATACCTGTTCGAGAGCAAATTGAATTTTATTATCATCTGTTGGCATGCTTTCTAAGTTTGACATAAGTTGTTTTTGGTGGGGGTTAAATTACTGCTTGAGAAGTTAAGATGCTATACTCTTGGCTGTTAGCAGTTTCTTGTCATTGTTTTTGGCGAGACATGTTGTACTTTACTTTTATAAGCGATAGTCCCAAGGTTATAACCAGTTTGTAAAGTATCTTGTACTTTCAAAGGCGCATAAAATGCATGCATGCAACCAAAACAATTTCAGAATGATAAAAATCTAACTTCAGAAGGCTGAAGATGAGTAGAGTACCACTACCTAGAGCACTAGTCAATTGGTCTTAGCAGCCACTTCCTTCATAGGAAGAATGATTCTCGGGAATCATATTTCACTGTCCCAGAGATTAGTTTACAAGAAGTTTGACCTCATTGTTAACCATTCTTGATCAAATATTGCAACAAAATAGTGTTCAATGTGATAGATTGAGTAACATGGGGAAGCTCGATTGTTGTTTTTTTGTGTGTGTATATGGCATATAAAATGATCTAGGGTTGTTGGATTTGGCCTTATTTACTGCATTTATTCAACCTCAATTTTGTTCTCACACAGGTTGGTTCAATAGAAGGCAGAGTTGGCGTACATCATCTGGATGATGCTCAGAATGGTAAAAACTTCACTTTTAAGTGCCACAGGGAAGGAAATGATATCTACTCAGTGAACTCCTTGAACTTTCATCCTGTAAGTAATTTAGATTCTCGGTTGCTTCCCAATCATGACTTTCAAACTGTAGTTGGCCACTTATTTGTTGGTTCGATATCTCTTTGTACCAGCTGCATGCAAGTCTGCTGTCTGATTGTTAAATTGTGCTTGCTTCACAATTTATATGTCTACCTCTCGCGTTCAGGTCCACCATACGTTTGCGACTGCTGGATCTGACGGTGCTTTCAATTTTTGGGACAAGGACAGCAAACAGAGGCTAAAGGTTTGTGCCAGTTTTCCATGTCTTCCAGGATTAATTAAACATAAAGTGGTGTCCTAGTTCATCTTGTTGTTTGGTTCTAGTAGATGATCCAATCCAGTTATTCACATGGCCAATAGTTGAATGCTATGACTCATTTTGTAGTTTTCTTTGTGAGATTTAGTTGAACTAATCAAAATTTCTGTATCTCGTCTAATCTTATAGGCGATGGCAAGGTGCAGCCAGCCAATACCTTGCAGTGCATTTAACAATGATGGCTCCATATATGCATATGCGGTATGTATCTCACATCTTTGACCAGTAAGTATATGATAGCATCACTATCGGGAGGTCTGGTGGGTTTGATGGAAAATCCATTTCTGTTGTCTCCAGGTTTGTTACGACTGGAGCAAAGGTGCTGAGAACCACAACCCAGCAACGGCAAAAACGAACATCTTTCTACATCTACCACAGGTGCGCTTTGTGCAGTTCACTCACTCTCTCACTCACAGTGTCTGTTCAATCTACCATCTGTGTTGCTTTAAAAGACTGGGTTTAGTGATGCAAATACATGTGGTTATTCTGATGCTGCAGGAGTCTGAGGTTAAAGGGAAACCCCGTGCTGGATCGACCAACAGAAGGTGAAGCTATTGCTGCTCCACGTGGCGACCCCGTCAAAGAAGGCTGACTCGTGCCCCACCTTTTTGCATCCCAATCTTTCTTCTCTTTGTTCAAGACTTGATTCTTTCAGTTGGTGCTTTGTTTTTCCAGCAGTTGTCCATAGCAGTGTTCGTTTGTTAGCGATGTAAGTGATGATACACATAGATAGAGATAGCCTTATGTTGAACGATTAGTTCCTTTGCCAAACAATTTTTATAGGCTTGTTTGCGTGATGGATTTGGTGAAAGATTTGGTGATGGATTTAGGTTATTGATGGATTTTATTCAAAATTAATTGTTTGCTTCAAGTATTGAGGGGGTCGTTTGCTTCATGGATTGAAAAATGAAGGTTTTGGTATAACTTGGATTTTGATAAACCATGGATATATAAGAGTTTTGTGTTCATTATGGATTTGAAAGAGACCATTATTTGTTTCATGGATTTCATTATGAATTTTGTTAATTAAATTTGTATATATGAAGTGACAGTACCTTTATTGCACTCAATGATATAAGAAGAGGAAAAAAAAATATATGAGGAGTTGGTTGGTAAAAAATGATGGACTTCAAAGTCCATGATCAATTCTCATATAAAGAGGTGGAATTTACAAGTCTGTGGGGCCCACGAAAATGGACCCTCAAAGTTCATGGGTCCCACGGATTTTGTACCTCTAAAATCTAAGGGGTTGTTTGTCGAAAAAGTTAATTTGCTAACTTGAAGATTCGTTAGCAGATACTAACTAATATCCAAAATATATGAACTAGTATCCAAGTACTAAAGTATCTAGAGTAGAAGTGGGCAACGGGAAATGGGTATTTGGGTATACCCGTACTCGTCCCGTTTTTTGAGGGTTACGGGTACCCGTATTACCCGTAATATTATTAACGGATGGGACTTGGGATTATGCATTCATATATTGGGTACCCGCGGGTTACCCGCAAATACCCGTTTGGATAATATGAGTTCCCGTTTTATCCATTCAAAAATTACAA